GCATTGGCTCCCAGCTCATTATGACGCTACACTTTACACGCAGTTAGGGAAAATGTACAAATGGATGAATCTTTCATTACATTTACTGTATCTTGTGTACATTNAGCGATCACTGCAGCCCCTGAACCTATGCAAGTGGATCGGTCCCCGCTTACCTCCGCTGAACGCAGGAGAAGAACCCAGGGTGGACTGTGCCTATACTGTGGGGAAGCTGGGCACATTCTTTCTGCCTGTCCCATCAGACCCCAGCATGAAGAAAGGCCCCTGAGGGTAGGTGTCTCCTCTTTCCCACTCTCATCAATCACTCAATTTTCTGTACCCGTCACCTTAAGCTGTGGGGGGGAGAGATATAAGGTACGGGCTCTAGTGGATAGTGGGGCAGCAGGGAATTTCCTGGATGGGGACCTAGCTAGACGATTACACGTTCCTCTACGGAGCTTAACCTATCTGATCACTATTCATGGAGTCACCGGTGAACGCATGGTAAAAGGGACTATACGTCATCGTACTCACCCTTTCCTGATGCGAGTTGGTGTTTTCCATACCGAAGCTATAGAAATGTTTGTGCTTGATCGAACCAAAGATCCCCTGATTCTCGGCCTCCCCTGGTTACGCCGGCATAACCCCCGTCTGAACTGGAGAACCGGGGAGATAGAAGCATGGTCTGATGGATGTCTATGTGAGTGTTTGTCCCTCCCTTGTAAAGCCACAGGGGTGGAAAGTCCCGAGCCTGAAAATCTGGAGGTTGTCCCTCAGGACTATTACGAGTACTTGGATGTCTTCAGTAAAGAGAGGGCTTTCCGCCTTCCCCCACATCGAGGCAGTGACTGCTCCATCGATCTGCTGGATGGAGCTACTTTGCCTCGAGGTAGATTGTACCCTGTTTCCCTACAGGAACAAGAATCTCTGGACCTCTACATACAAGAGGGAGTGAAACAGGGTATCATTCAACCATCAACCTCACCAGTCACAGCCGGATTTTTCTTCATCAAGAAGAAGGATGGGGGCCTGCGACCGGTGGTGGACTACAGGGCTTTAAACGCTATAACAGTAAAGAGAAGAGAGCCTCTTCCCCTAATTCCTTCCGCTTTAGAGCAACTGAGAGAAGCCGTTGTATTCACTAAATTGGACTTGCGGAGTGCTTATAATCTTGTTCGAACCACGGTGCGAGATGAATGGAAGACGTCCTTTATCACCAGTAGGGGGCAGTATGAGTATCGGGTAATGCCGTACGGGTTGGCGAACA